TATATATATATATATAATATATACAAAAGTGTGCGAAAATTCGCGATTCAAACTATAGTAGAAAGAGTTCTCGAAAAATTAAGTAAAAATGTCATTTGTTAATTTTTCATCTTTAGCAATAATGTTTGGAATAATAAAGGTTTAAACATCACCAATTATAGACTATGTTTAGATAATCATCTACGAGTATTGGTGAGCGCGTTGAAATACGCGTTCACTGTCACTCACTTAATCTATCGCACATGCAACTCATGGATAAATATGGACTAAATGGCATATAAACGTAGTCTGTAATTAGCCACATTTAAAATCTTGTTATCTCAGAAATTACTGTTCAAAATGAAAATTTATAAATAACTTCTTTATTTTATTTTTCTTGCTGTAGTATTTTAAGTTTCAATTTTAATGGATGCCCTGTGTGCGCGCGCGCGCGCGTGTGTGTGTGTAGACTTAAAATAAGAGATCAAATGTAAAACGGAAACTCAATAAAATGAGAATGTTTTAATCCTGTCAAAGAATTAGGAAAAAGTCATGTACCGTGACGTGAAAAGAATAAGAGATCTGTACCAGAGAAAAGTTAAAATGGCTCGAGCGTGGACATAGATCCTATGTCTAAACTTCCAAACTCTCTGTAATTAAAGAACTGTACAGCTGGAACGAGGCAGACTGGATACAGCATCCGTAGTAAAAATCGACGCTTAGAACATCGTCTCATTATAGCTGTACTTTATGTTGCGTTAAAAGTGTTAAGAAAATACCTACAACCTCACGACAACATTTAATTAATATAGATTAACAATGCAATTGCGCAGCGTATCATCAATCTCATGTGACATTAAATATTTAAATTTGTCCAAGTTTAAACCACTCCTTCGTAAGTATCGATCGACCGAGAAAACCAGATTGAAGCTTGCGCACGTGTAAAGAACATTTTTACACGTAGTGATGAAATAATTTACGGTAATCGTACGCTGTTCAGAAATAATCTCTCAGACAATTACAACAAAGTCGCAATTAGTTCTCCAGCATGCAGCGCAAATATTGAAATAACGGATGACATAACCCATTATGTTTATAGCTCAGTGCTGTGTGATTGCATTTTTCTGCGGGATGCATTTTCCATGCAGCTTAGGAAATATAAAACTCAAGATGGAAATGTGTTTATCCATAAAATTAAAGAATAATATTTTCTCATAAACTCGTGCACGACGGAAAACTTTTTATATATTTTTCGAGAGTGTAACGCACACAAGAACATAAAATTTTCTCGTACAGACGTAAATCAAATTTATCGCAGGTAATTAATTACTCATCGACGAAGCAATCGATAAAGCTGATAGTCCGGTTATAAAGCCGAAAGCAATAGCCACTTGTTGTGGGATCGTTATTACTTAGGCATCTGAAATGATTGTTCATTTTCACGAAAGATGGATAATTAATCGCCATGAGGGCAATGTTTTACTTTATCAAAACCAGTCATTAATTTTTATCTGAATCTGTGCTGTTGATTCTACATTATCTATCATCGTTGTCGGTTTCGCGTTGGTTTAGTTTAGTCAGTCAAACAGCCACGAGCGTTTATTTTCTATAATTGGGTTATTATGGGATCCATTTAGCTTGTCAAATTGTATCATTAAGATACATTCTATATCGCTAAGAATAATATAACTAAAATGGAAATAATTCATGCTATAAGCGCGCAAGTATCGCAAGTTCCTTCGGAATCTCCTCAGGCAGATTTTCTCGAGCGCGTTCGTATCACAATTTCCGACAATAAAAGGAGAAATATAATACGGAGCTTGGCTTAGCGGATAAGCATCGTGCTTCAATATAGAGATCTTCGCTGCTACGTGCAAACAAAATTCGAATATCAGTTACAGAATAGAAAATCGGTCAGCCCAAAGTTTGTGAGACGACTAAAGAATGCAGGGGGGGGGGGGGGAAAAAAAGAAAAATACGATAAGGTAGAGAAATAGAGAGAAAAAGATACGTTCTACTTGATTCCGGCTTGGCGTAAAGTCGGAAGCGCAGTATAACAACACGAAGTACTGTAAGTTGTTCTGCAGCAGGGTGGAAGAATAAATTACAAAAGCAGAGGAAATTAACCGTCTTGAAAATGAAGCAAGCAGTAAGTAAGTTTCGGAAATCTCATTCTCTCTCTCTCTCTCTCTCTCTCTCTCTCTCTCTCTCCCCCCCCTTCTCTCTCCCTCTCTTTAATCGCGCAGGCGCAGTTTTCGAATAAAACTTTCTGAAAGCTCTAGTACAAATCTACACACGTCTTTTTCCGTTCCTCTTCTTTATTTTATATCTTGTACTGATTATAAGAGAAAAGTATTAGTGATTAGTATTTGTGACTATAATTACACGATAAAATAATTATTAGGAGCCACTTTTATTACTACTATAACGTTAATAATAATTGTTATGTTTATACATTGAAAAAGATATAGTCAATTTTAATAAATATTTAGTTGAATACTAAATATTTATTAAAAATAAAAATATATTTATTTGATACAAGAAATGTTAATTTGATTTAACAATTTTTTTTTGAAAACTAAACAAATATTTATTTACTGTAAATAAATGTTTAATTGGCAATATTGAACTAGATATTTATTAAAATTGACTAAATTTTTTTCTCGGTGTAATTCTATCAACAAATATATT